CCAGGGGTGACAAACTGATGACACGCGCACTAGCAGATAACTCAAGATAACTCAAGATAAGCAGGCACCCGTCTATCCCTCATGCTTGCGAGACTAACATCACCACGACAAGGACGAATGCAAATTGAGAGAGGGGAACTATCAGGGGGAAAGCGCCAAGCCATTACGACTATATAGCACTGGGAAAGGAGTCAGGATAAAGATTTGGGATGGGACGGGGGGGAAGGAATGGTGCCCAACCACTTGTGGACGGTCGGGGATTGAACCCCGACCGGCATGAAGCGAGACCGTCGCTCTACCGTCCAGCCTAAATGGCTGGTGCACATTGAGAGACCCTGGAAACACAAACCGTAACTGTCTCTATTTTCCGCTTGTTACAACTTGTAATAAAGTTGTTACATCTTGGCTTAACGTGTTTATGACGTATTAGAACGTTGTTACAACTTGCTATATTGGTTTGTTATAACTGGTTAGGAGGTGTTAAAACTTGTTCGAACGTTGTACCAACGTCGTAGTTTCGGTGTGTGTTTGGCGGGGAATGACCAATTGGTCATGCCCTTAACTACCGCTTATTAACCGGTAACTGCATCACTAGCAGATGTTCTCATTGGTAATTTAATAAAGATTTCTCTATCAACACCAATTTCCATGAAATAAAGTAGATATTTACAAGTTAATAAAGTTATATATTATAATACGTTTGTCAATAAATTAAGAATTTTGAACATACGTGTTGTGACGAACCTTATATAATACTCTTCTCGAGTTTACCAACAGTAAACCTCCCCCAGAAGCTCTCTCAAGTTTACCAGCAGGACTCCTCATACGACCAGTAGACCATCCACCAGTCTACCTGGACCAGTAGACCATCTACCAGTCTACCTGGACCAGTAGACCATCCACCAGTCTACCTGGACCAGTAGACCATCCACCAGTCTACCTGGACCAGTAGACCATCCACCAGTCTACCTGGACCAGTAGACCAACCACTAGTCTACCTGGACCAGTAGACCATCCACCAGTCTACCTGGACCAGTAGACCATCTACCAGTCTACCTGGACCAGTAGACCATCCACCAGTCTACCTGGACCAGTAGACCATCCACCAGTCTACCTGGACCAGTAGACCATCCACCAGTCTACCTGGACCAGTAGACCATCCACCAGTCTACCTGGACCAGTAGACCAACCACTAGTCTACCTGGACCAGTAGACCATCCACCAGTCTACCTGGACCAGTAGACCATCTACCAGTCTACCTGGACCAGTAGACCATCCACCAGTCTACCTGGACCAGTAGACCATCCACCAGTCTACCTGGACCAGTAGACCATCCACCAGTCTACCTGGACCAGTAGACCAACCACTAGTCTACCTGGACCAGTAGACCATCCACCAGTCTACCTGGACCAGTAGACCATCTACCAGTCTACCTGGACCAGTAGACCATCCACCAGACCACCAGACCAGCTCTCCAGTACCTGAGTGATCATACCAGAAGCCAAGAAAGGAATATTAGAGCCATCCCCGAGTGAGAGACAGTGTCTCCCCTCTGAGGGGAGGCTCCTGTGTCTGTGTGTATTTTTGAACGCCGGGTGGGGGTTTTATGAGAGGGGGAGGGGGAGGGGGGGGTTGTGGTGTGGAGCAGTCTTCCGAGGGGATATGTGGGCCTTCCGGTGAGGGGGTTATCTTGAGATGATTTCGGGGCTTTTAGTGTCCCCGCGGCCCGGTCCTCGACCAGGCCTCCACCCCCAGGAAGCAGCCCGTGACAGCTGACTAACTCCCAGGTACCTATTTACTGCTAGGTAACAGGGGCATTCAGGGTGAAAGAAACTTTGCCCATTTGTTTCTGCCTCGTGCGGGAATCGAACCCGCGCCACAGAATTACGAGTCCTTCGCGCTATCCACCAGGCTACGAGGCGAGGGGGGGGGGGTAGGGTCTACCTTGGTGTCAGGAGATGTGGATCGTTTTTGTTTTATTTAACACCATTTGTGTTAATGGTGTTAATTATCTTTATGTATCCCTGCGTACATCTCTGTGTCGCTCTTCCATCTCTCCATAGGGGCCTGATAGCCGAGTGGACAGCGCTTCGGATTCGTAGTCCTGAGGCTCCGGGTTTGATTCTCGGTGGAGGCGGAAACAAATGGGCAGTTTATTTCACCCTGATGCACCTGTTCACCTAGCAGTAAATAGGTACCTGGGAGTTAAAACAGCTGCTACGGGCTGCTTCCTGGGGGGGGGGGTGTATAACTAAAAGGAGGCCTGGTCGGGGACCGGGCCGCGGGGACGCTAAGCCCCCGAAATCATCTCAAGAATGTTGTTGTTGTTATAGATTCAGCTACTCGGAACAAGTTCCAAGTAGCACGGGCTATGGTGAGCCCGTAACTTACCTGGCACAGGAGCGGGGCAAGTAGCACGGGCTATGGTGAGCCCGTAACTTACCTGGCACAGGAGCGGGGCAAGTAGCACGGGCTATGGTGAGCCCGTAACTTAACTGGCACAGGAGCGGGGCAAGTAGCACGGGCTATGGTGAGCCCGTAACTTACCTAGCACAGGAGCGGTGAGCATCTCAAGAAGATAACCTCCCCTCATATGTGACCCTCTTCCACCTCTGCCCTCACCTGTGACCCCTCTTCCACCTCTCCCCTCACGTCTGTCCCCCCCTCTTCCACCTCTCTCCATGTCCACCAGCCGGGTGTCCGTGACTAGGGCGACACAGGACACCACCAAATAAACACCGACCCCTAAACACGGGGCTGACCCTAATTTGCATGCGGCTGTCGTCCCTGTTATACCCACGCCAGCCAAACTGCCTGGTTCCCACGCCCTCCCCAACATTCCCACGCTAATTTGTGCCTTAAAACCCGCTACACACAAGGTTGGTTATTGCTTGCTTTCAAGTCGCTGTGCTATATTGTCCTTAAACTGAGGTCGTCGATCATTCAGTAAATCGTATATTAGAAATTTTCAATAGTATTTGTATTGAAAATTTTTGATTACTTGGTGAACGGGTGATATTTCCGCTTTGTATATGGCATTATTAGTCCGGCGTGTTGAGGTTGTCCCGGGCACCGCCGGACGGCTGGCCCCGCCCTCACGCAGCTGGTGTGAGCAGCACAATACTCCTCTCTTACAGGCTGAACAACCCAGCGGGTTTTCTTCCTATTGGGGAGTGTTGTACATGCCGCTATGGCGGTGTGTCCACTCACAGGATGAGTGACGCTGCCCAATACTGTCACTATGGCGGTGTGTTCACTCACAGGATGAGTGGCGCTGCCCAATACTGTCACTATGGCGGTGTGTTCACTCACAGGATGAGTGGCGCTGCCCAATACTGTCACTATGGCGGTGTGTCCACTCACAAGATGAGTGGCGCTGCCCAATACTGTCACTATGGCGGTGTGTCCACTCACAAGATGAGTGGCGCTGCCCAATAAACTCGCCCCTCGGGGCAAAATATAAAAATTTAACCTCCTTCCTGGTTAAACCAGGAAGGAGGGAGGCTTCCAGGAAGCCTCCTTCTCACTCCAGGAGAACACTTTGGTAAGTCGGCAACCACCAACAGATTGAGATAAGGAAGCTTCTTAAGTTACTCCTGGCGTCTTAGGAGGCTTCGGGGTGATCTTGAGGTTATCTTGAGATGATTTCGGGGCTTTAGTGTCCCCGCGGCCCGGTCCTCGACCAGACCTCCACCCCCAGGAAGCAGCCCGTGATAGCTGACTAACACCCAGGTACCTATTTTACTGCTAGGTAACAGGGGCATAGGGTGAAAGAAACTGTGCCCATTGTTTCTCGCCGGCGCCTGGGATCGAACCCAGGACCACAGGATCACAAGTCCAGCGTGCTGTCCGCTCGGCCGACCAGCTCCCCTGGAAGCGATAAGCGATATCAGAAATCTATAAGAAGCTGAGGGGATGTCACAAGGAGGTGAAGGAGGGAGTGAGGCGGAATTGTCAGAGAACTTGTCAAACATCTCCAAAGGATACCTGATCAACCAGGCTGTGATTCATACGTCTGGCTGCGAGCAGCCGCGTCCAACAGCCTGGTTGACCAGTCCAGCAACGAGGAGGCCTGGTCGACGACCGGGCCGCGGGGTCGCTGAGCCCCGGAATCATCTCAAGATAACCTCGAGATGATACACAATAGTACACGGTGAACGGTGTGTGTACAAGTGTACATGACTGGGACGCCTGGGTAATGAGACACAGAGATCGCGCCGGGAGCCAACACCTCCGACCTCGAGTAAAGAAACTTGACAAGGTGGAGAGGGTTGAGGAGAGCCTGGTCTCAGAGGTCCCTTGGGCGAGGCACGAGGAGAGCCCCAAGCTGCTGCACCTCATCATGCGATACATTCATGAACGGTAGAGCAACGGTCTCGCTTCATGCTGGTCGGTGTTCAATCCCCAACCGTCCTAGTGGTTGGGCCACCATTCCTTTTCCCCCGTCCCATCCCAAATCCTGACCCCTTCCCAGTGGTATATAGCCGTAATGACTATGCGCTTCTCCCCGATAGTTCCCTTCCCCCCTACAATATCCACCAGTTAACAAAACGTTCATAAAATAACTCTGAAAATATTGACAATGAATAACAATGACGGGAAGGAACATAGAGGAAGGCTGGAGGCCCACATGAGCCGCCGGGGTGACAACGACCTTCGTTACCCCTAAGTGATAACTTACGCTAACATCTATCATAAACATTAGAATAAACTACATGACAAGGTAGTAGATATGATAAAAGGGATGTGGGTAGGGAGCTGAAAGGATAGAAGCTCGACCATCGAGGCTAGATGTTGGAGAATATACATTCACACACTCCATTACACACATGCATATATATATATACACATACACATCCTTATATTTTAACAAATGTCTACATGATTTAGAAAACGAAGTGCTCCTGAGCCAACACATGCGAGGAGAGGGGGGAACTAACATAAACAAATCATGCCGTTGTATCTGTCGGACCCTTGACCATTCTTCTCCTAAGACTTACCCTGACTTGTGCTTCCTTGAGGTTGAGCCAGAGGGAGATCTCCTCACGGGTGCTGAGGTCCGGGTATCTGAAGAGACAACCATCGTTACACAGGAAGACACAATTAAGGAATATAGCATATGCACCGCCCTAGATCCTTCCCCCTTACTGGTATCCTCTGCGATACAGATACCTAATTACGATCTGATAATGTTCTCAAGAACGTACCCTAAGGTCCTGAGGGTGCCCAGGGAGGACTTAGGAACAGCTAATAGGAAATGCCCAGGATGAGGGGCTCTTGTAGGTAAGAGAGCTTCACCTTTTCTGGAAGCTTTCTCCAGCGTTACCAAAGACGGAATCAGAAGCTTCAACCGCAACAACTTAAGGCTGAATCATTATAATTTATATGAATAATATATATAATATAATACGTACGAATCATTATAATTTTGGCTGCAATGAAGAGCTGTAAAGCAGTGTAAATTGAAAAAAATAGAAAACCTATAACTCGTATATCTTACAAGTTTAGTTGTGAAATATATTTACAACTATAGTAATAATGACAACAGCAATAGAAAAATGAAATAAAATGTTAGGAGGACTAACTTTTACAAATATTTGTTTACAATTTACCTACATTAAGCGATATGAACAAATCCACAAGGGCCGTGATGAGGGTTCGAACCTACGCGGTGGGTGTTCCAAGACGCGCTCTAGTCCACTGCGCTACGACATGGTCAAAAGAATTGCAACCTGGAGTACTACTGCACCCACGAGGATCCTGAGGCTTCCACTGAAGCCTAACCGGGGTTTCACACAATTGTATTGAAGTCAGAGGTAGAACTACTGATTGACAGAACCAGAGTGCATGGGGGGGGGGGGAGGGGGATTGTGTGTAAGCCCGGTTAGGCTTCAGTGGAAGCCTCGGGCTCCTCGTGGGTGCTGTAACACTCCAGGTTACAATTCTTTTGACTATGTCGTGGCGCAGTCAGCTAGAGTGCGTCTGGGAACACCCAGCACGTAGGTTCGAACCCTCATCACGGCTCCTGTAGATTTCTTCACTGATATATCACGATAATATAATTTCTCTGTGTATTGAGAGATATATTATAAAAAAGACTTCAAATTGACGTTTTGATCAAAAGACGTTTTGACTGGAGACATCAAATGACTTAAAATTAAGTCGGAAATACAAAAGAAGCAGACAATTTTAAATATAAGTAACAAACTATAACATGAAATTAAAATACATTTACATTCTCAGTAGTTTAAACAAATTCAGGAACTATGGATTACAATCACTTTGAACGCAGCTCCAGTAACTTAAGATCTGATTTCGAGAGGATTTAAAACGTTTGTCAACATCTCACATCTTTGTGACACCAGAGCCTGAATAATTCCAAGTGTCCAGTTGGGGTATTTCTGCCTTTCTGAGCTCACTGGTTCGTCTCATACTAGTGAGCAGAGAGTCTCTGACGTAGACTCACCTGCTGCTGGCCTCCAGGTACTAACAGTCACCTAGCCTCCCCTGCTGGCCTCCAGGTACTAACAGTCACCTAGCCTCCCCTGGTGGCCTCCAGGTACTAACAGTCACCTAGCCTCCCTGCTGCTGGCCTCCAGGTACTAACAGTCACCTGGCCTCCCCTGGTGGCCTCCAGGTACACTAACAGTCACCTAGCCTCCCCTGGTGGCCTCCACGTACACTAACAGTCACCTGGCCTCCCCTGGTGGCCGCCAGGTACACTAAGAGTCACCTAGCCTCCCCTGGTGGCCTCCACGTACACTAAGAGTCACCTAGACTCACCTGTTCCTGGCGAAGGTGGCCTCCAGCTCCTGCAGCTGCTGGGAGGTGAAGTGGGTTCTTTGTCGCCGTTGTCGCTTCTTCTTGTTCTTGTCGTCGTCAGACTCTGTGGAGCAGGACTGGGACGGCTTCTCGCCGACATCTGAGGACGACAACCACACACACATTACTCCACGATCACAACATGTGCTCGTCTACACATACACTCACAAACCATACTGGTGTGACCAAGCATGCTAATACACTAGGTAATCCCACTAACGTGATATATCAACAGGAAAAGGGAGCATTATAAGGGGATTCCAACCCTCAACTCCGAAGGCACACCAGAATGTATATAGGAGTTATATGTGTCAAACTTGGACTGGCTCCTAAAGAGTTCTCCAGACGGCTTGTGGATTCACTGGAATCCAAGAATGGAATTTGTATATTATGTCGAGAGAGAGAGAGAGAGAGAGAGAGAGAGAGAGAGAGAGAGAGAGAGAGAGAGAGAGAGAGAGAGAGAGAGAGAGAGAGAGAGAGAGAGAGAGAGATCCTACAGGTACAAAGACATAAATACAAATATTAAATACACACATACGCGCACAATATAATGTTCAAAACATCTGACTACAGACCAATTTATATCTTTAAAATTAGCTTGAAGATAAAGAAGTATTCGGCCTCAAGAAACCCACAGTCCAGGGGCCAGATTCACGAAAGCACTTACGAACGTGTACATCTTTCCTCAATCTTTGACGGCTTTGGTTACATTTATTGCACAGTTTACGAGCATGAAAACTTCCCATTCAATTGTTGTTATTGTTATGAACAGCCTTCTGGTGCTTCGCAGCTCATTAACTGTTTGATAATTGTAAACAAAGCCGGCAAAGATTGAAAAAAGATGTACAGGTTCGTTAGTGCTTGCGTAAGTGCTTTCGTGAATCTGGTCCCAGGTACGGACACGCAGAGAACACTCCCGTTAACGGACGAAGACGGATTATGAACATACTATGCATCTTGAAGGTGTTGAACAGGATCTCCACTTCCATCTTGGTATATGTGTGTGTGTCCGGGTATCGCTATATGTATCTTATTGCTGCTGCTGCTGTGTAGTCTGGCACTGTGATATGTATCTTAACATGTCTCTCCGTTTTCTGGTATGTAGCTAACTACATAAATATGGTGGCAGGAGACCATGCGGGGCTCGAACTCAGTCATTCTTGCTCATGTGTCGTCTTGATACTGGTGCTGTTCACTCTATGTATCCTCATCACGTGTCGTCTTGATACTGATGTTGTTCACTCTATGTATCCTCATCACGTGTCGTCTTGATACTGGTGCTGTTCACTCTATGTATCCTCATCACACGTGTGGTTACTACTGGTCATGTGTTCACGTATCACTACACATAAATGGCTACTGTCTGTTCAGGCACAGTATCTTGTATCACAAAAGAAACACATGTGTATCCACGTATCATCACACACACAGGTACACACGTGTCTGGCCACGTATCCATGTATTACAAAGATTACGTCGTTGTGCTAAATAAAATTCAAGGCCAAACTACTCCCCTCACAGGAGGCCACCCACAACAGTTGCCTAACTCCAGAGACTGCTAGGTGAACAGGAGGATTAGGCGAATGGAAACGTGTCTAATTTTATTTCTGTTCCGCCCGGGAATCGAACTCGGGAATTCATAAAAACTTGGCTTATTAGGCAAATCGGGCCTTGCATAGTAGGCCAAGTACGACGTTCTGGCTTCTAGGTACAACATTATATATATATATATATATATATATATATATATATATATATATATATATATATATATATATATATATATATATATATATATATATCCATATTTTTCTGAGAAAATATTACTGAAAAATTACAAGGTGTATTCACGTAATTGTGCTTGCGGGGGTTGAGCTCTGGCTCTTTGGTCCCGCCTCAGGGACCTGTGTGTGTGTGTGTTCCCCTGAGCACCCTATGGTGTGGGTCCCAACGTGTAGTGTGTGTACATATTTGTGTATATATATTTAGCTGTTCTCACCCCACCTGCACAGCTTCCAGTCCTCTCTATGTTATGTTCCTCCTCTTCCCCTTCATCCTCTTCCTACACTCCTCCCTTCTCTCTCCTTCCCTTCTTTATTATGCTCACGTAATATGTCTTCATTCATCTCTCCCTCCTCTTCACCTCTCCCTCCTCTTCACCTCTTCCTCCTCTTCACCTCTCCCTCCTCTTCACCTCTTCCTCCTCTTCACCTCTTCCTCCTCTTCACCTCTTCCTCCTCTTCACCTCTTCCTCCTCTTCACCTCTTCCTCCTCTTCACCTCTTCCTCCTCTTCACCTCTTCCTCCTCTTCACCTCTTCCTCCTCTTCTGCTATCTCAATTCTTCTTTGAAATTACCTTCCCACTTATTTATTTATCACTGTTCTTCTTCAGTGTCAACCTCGTCCCACCTCCACCCCAAGTACCTCTCCCACCTCCCCCCACCTCTCCCACATCCCCCCTCTCCCCGCCCCACCTCTCCCACCTCTTCCCCCCTCCCCACCTCTCCCCCTCCCCCCCCACCTCTCCCACATCCTCCCACCCCAGCTCCCCCTCTCCCCACAATCCTCGTCCCACTCCCGTGATCCACAGAGCTCTTGCACTCTGCTCAAATCGAAAATATGAACACGTATAACCCCCATATATATAAGTGCCAGATCACGCTATGGAAAAAAGTCATATAATAGCTCATGTAGTAATCATGTTGGTGTCACAACTGCAAGAAATGTGACAGGTTAGATAACTAGAACTTGTTTAAAAATAAATATAATATAAAGATGCCACACAAGTTCGATCCCAGGCGCCGGCGAGAAACAATGGGAAGAGTTTCTTTCACCTTATGCCTCTGTTACCTAGCAGTAAAATAGGTACCTGGGTGTTAGTCAGCTGTCACGAGCTGCTTCCTGGGGGTGGAGGCCTGGTCGAGGACCGGGCCGCGGGGACACTAAAAAGCCCCGAAATCATCTCAAGATAACCACTAATCTTATAAACAGCCTAGCTCTCTCTCTCTGGGGTGAAATACTATTACACACTAAATGAACAAATCCACAAGGGCCGTGACGAGGATTCGAACCTCGAATCGGATTCGTCACGGCCCTTGTGGATTTGTTCATTTGACGCATCACGTTAGTGTGATCTCTGTGTGTGTCTGTTACACACTAACTGCCCCATTCAAAGCTGGTGAAATTGCTGACCTGGAGAACATGCAGAAATCTTTTCCGGTTCGAATCCATTCAATAAAACATTTAAATTATGAGAACCACTTAGAATGTCTAAATTATGTTGACCAGACCACACACTAGAAGGTGAAGGGACGACGACGTTTCGGTTCGTCCTGGACCATTCTCAAGTCGATTGTCAATAGACTTGAGAATGGTCCAGGACGGACCGAAACGTCGTCGTCCCTTCACCTTCTAGTGTGTGGTCTGGTCAACATACTTCAGCCATGTTATTGTGACTCATCGCCTGCATAGAATGTCTAAATCTGTATACTGTAGAGAGCAGGTGAAACACATAATAATTTACACTTGGGAAATATTAAGAGGGACTGGTTCTAAATCTGCACAGAGGAAATAACAGCCTACGAGATCAGGAGGCAGCGAGGTGTCAGTGGTGGAGTTGATAAGCAATACACAGGCTGAGCAACACGTTTCTTACAGTCAATATTGACTTATTAAATACGTGCATATGTGACATACTAAACATACTAGTTTACCTTGAAAAGCTTCATAGAAAACACCGGCCTCACCTAACCTTCTTAGTATGTTAAGATAAGCATCTTATTGCTTCTTAATTACAATTATTACTTAACCTATTATAGGTATAGGTTAAGTAATAATTGTAATTAATTTGAAAGTGCGAGAACGGGTTGGGCTGAGACACCATCAACATCAAGGCACCAAACATGTGGGAATAATAGGAAATGACATTGCAGACGAAGCTGCAAAACTTGCAACTAAGAGAAGAAATGTAGACATTTACATACCACAGAGTCTATCACAGATTAAGAAAGTAATTAGAAACAGAGCAATACAAAAGATGTACAGTGACCACAACACTGTAGTTGCAACATCAGGATCTGCGGGTTGGTACAAGAATTCAACCAACTACGAACCACTTAGTTTGATGAAAGGGAGCAGTAGAGCAACAGAAGTACACTTACATCGCATCAGGCTTGGATACCCATGTGCATGGGAAATAGGCTTACAGGTTCCGGAAGATGAGAGGAAATGTCAGCACTGTGGAGAAATGCCCGACAGACCACTGGAACATTATCTAACACAGTGCACAGTTACATCCACAACAGACCACTGGAACATTATCTAACACAGTGCACAGTTACACCCACAACAGACCACTGGAACATTAACACAGTGCACAGTTACAAACCCATTAAGATTTCAACTTAAGATTCAACAGAGCAGAAGAAGTTGTTAAACACATGGGACAAAATCTTACTGAAGCGACCATACGAGTCATAAATACTCATACTCCGCCCAAGTAAAACAGAAACAAGCAACACTTAGTGGACCAGCCAGAGGCTTAGGGCCCGCGCACGAATATCCCTTCCAAAAAAAAAAAAAAAAGCCCCCCCCCTCTCTAAGCTGGATTACACAACCACCCCGCCTCTGACGGTGGCCAAAAGAGAAAATGGTAAACATCTGATCAAAGGATACCTGATCAACCGGGCTGTGGTGCATGCTGCCTGCTAACAGCCAACTCCCAACAGCCTGGTTGACCCGACTACCGACCACAAACGCTGGACAGAGACCACCAGGCCGCGGGGACATCGACCCCGGGATCCACCAGCACAAGATTCACACACCAGATTGATTGATAAAGATAAAACCACCCAAGAGGTGGCACGGGCATGAATAACCCATAATCAACTCCCGAATTCTCAACCCCATATATATATCCAGCTCCTTTCACACCAACTCTCTCACCCCCCCCAGCTATCCTCCGTCAATCTCCATCCCACCCCCCACCCCCCTTCCACGCCTGGGAGAGGGGGGGAGGTATCGAAGGCGTCGTCACCCAGCATATACGACATCCCGACATGACGCTGCATTACAATAATCCCCATAAATCGCCCTGTTGCA